CCCTGCCTTCCCTTTAATCCTGACCCATAGGACCATATCCAAGTAACACAAATGTGAAAGCCACATATGCTCCAAGTTATCAGTTGAGGCCCTCCAAATTTTAATACCGGGAATGGAGGCAGAATCAGTTTCCTGTTCCTTCACAGTTTTTGAAGGAAGGCTTGCTTTACTAAAAGTATACCGTCTGCATTGCCAAGGCACAAAAAGCTCAAACTGGACCCTTTTATGAAATCTCTGCGCAGAGTACACAACTGAAAAACAATTGAGTCACTTGAAGAGAATCTGACTGTCAGGAAGAGCACTTAGACAAAATGTGATTAACTGTTTGGAACTTTAAATTCATCTTATGAGTGACTCCTCTTCACTAAGAGCTTTCTTCTATTTTGCGTATCATGAATTTGGACAGTGAGTGAAGGGATTTTTTCTAAGTGCATTAATGCCAGCAAAGTAATAATAATCTTACTGATATTGCAGAGCAAACATCATCACTTCTACTCACGTACTGCTAAAACCAATTCCTTCACAAATGCATTTTGTTCAGTAAGAACTACTAAGTTTTTTCTCTTCTCCTTCACGAAAGAGCCGTTATTTATCATAAAATTGGGGAATTTCCCAGCACCCCAACACAACCTTTAAAAAAATCCCAACTGTTTCAGTTTCTCCATATATACTTTAGATATCTTGCCGTAAAGCAATGTCCACTTTTACTTACCATCATAAACAAAGTAAGTTCCATCTTTGAAGACCACAACAGCAGGCAATTCAGGCAATGTCACATACTGAAAGAGACATGGTTTTCAATTAATCCATGGAAGATTAAAAGATTTTTTAAGCAAACAAACAAAAAAATAACAGTGTGGAAATGTAGTTCATGGGGAAAATGTCAAAGTACATTTAAATGTTTTCTGTCTACATTTACTAAAATAAATTTATCAGCTTCCACATACTAAAATGAAGCAGGATTTTTACTAGTATCTGCAGTAGCATGAAGACTATTTTATCAGTCAGACATGAACTTTAGATAGAAGATCATAACTTGAGGGTTTTATCAGTCATGCTTTCTGTTTCCAACTTGTGCTGTTGCAAGCATACCTGTCATACCATTAATTCTACTAAACGGTCAGCCAATGATATAGTAAAATACTAACATTGAAAACATATCTCATTAAACCTGGGCTATTTCCTGTGGTTCAGGCTGACGGGAATACAAAGACACAGCTTCAGCAGACAGGGCTGCAAATAGCCCTAATTTAGGCAAACAGGACAATTAATGCATGCATTACCATTCTAAACGTGGTATTTAGGATGGCCAGCAACACTCAAAAAATACACGATGCAGAAACCTTTCCCTGGAAACTTAAAAGAATCTTACTCACCTCATGTTTTCAGTAAACTGCCACAGAAGAAATACTGCATCTACTCCTTACTGCTTGCTACCGTTCTAAGTTAAAATTCTAATAGTATTTGTGAGTATTTAAGAAAGGACTTATCATAAGCTCAGTTATGATGATGATGTTAGCTGAATTGTCTAATTTACGGATATGTTTGGGAAACATAAGAATCGTATCCTGAGTGCTTTTCCAAATAACATGCCTTCTGTAATCATTCTGAATTATCTTTCTTGGAAATAAATGTAAAAAGTTGACAATGTATCAGCTCACATGAATGGGCAAGACAAAGGTAGTTCTAGATGATGCTTTATTCTCCTATTTGCTCAAAACATAGTTCAACATTCTCAAAAGGCAAATCAGTCCATCTACAGCTTGTGGCTTGCAAAAGATGCCTGAAGTTTGGAACAAGATTACCTAAGGTGAAAAAACAAAGCCTAACAGTGAATACTGCAATGAGGCTTCGTATGACAACTAGCAAGCAGTCATTTCATAACAGTTTTGCTTCTCTCCGTGGAATATGGCATACCATCACTACTCTGATTTCAATGACATTTGTGAGAAAATACATTTGGTGGGAAAAACAGCTCACTGCTCGCATCACTGACCACAGAATCTCAAAGTGTTCCAGCCTTTTCCACTGCATTAGTGAACAGTACTTTTCTTGCTCAGATAGGGCTGAGGTGCAAATAGCAATATTCAAATTGAGGTAGTTTTTGATACAAGGCTTCTGGAAATCTAACAATATACTATTTATATTGAGGTCAGTTCTACTTACGATGTTGGAGAATGCAGGTACATAAAAAAAATACATTATGCTAGTTCTCACTCCACTAATCACCAATCTAATTTCAGAGTCGTGTTATCAGACTCAGGTCCCACTTGGAGATAACAATAAATGGAAACACCGCTTGATTTTGCTTCAACACAAACAACAATGGTTAAACTAAAAACAGTAATAGCAATTTTTTCCACCCTTGTGACTAACTGTAAATTATTTCCTTGTTACAGCGTCTTCCATGGAAAAGAGCCACAGAAGAATTCTGCAGACAGCAGAGCAGATCACCTGATCCTCCTGCAGACTGATGCTTTAATCGGTTTCCTGTGAGAGGGACCCCAGACTAGAGCAGGGGAAGAGTGTGAGGAGTCCTCCCCTTGAGGAACAAGGAGCAGCAGAAACAACGTGTGATGAACTGACTGCAACCCCTATTCCCCGTCCCCTGTGCTGCTGGGGAGGAATAAGGTAGAGAAATGGGGAGTGAAGTGACTCAAGCCCAGGAAGAAGGGAGGTGTGGGGGGAAGGTGTCTTAAGATGTGGTTGTTATGTCGGATGATTGGTAACAAATTAAATTGATTTTTCTTCCCCAAGTTGAGTCTGTTTTGCCCATGACCATAACTGGTGAGTGAGCCATTCCTGTCCTCATTTTTTAAATCCATGACACTTTTGCTGTGATTTTCTTCCCATCTCATTGGGTGGGGGGAGTGAGTGCAGGACCACATGGTCTTACCTGTGGGTGAAACGATCACACAGAAGCAACAGAGGCTTTGCATTGGCTAAAAAAGTATCTACCTTCTTGAGCAGGCTGTATTGCCCACATTGAGTTCTGCATATCTTATCCCTAATTTTATTAACATTACTGAACAAGTAATTTGGCCCATTCAAAGCAAAGACAGATTGAAACTTAGTTTGATTTCTTTAACCATATAGATGAAAAAAATTTTTCATTATAATTAGTTTGAAATTTATCAAAGCCAAATGTATTGTACGAAGCCATCTCTCTGCCATCAAAACAGTAAAATTACATACATGAGGAGAAATACATTATTTCTGAGGAAACAATAGAAACTGAAACAGCTTACCTCAGGCAGCACATCTTCTGAGGCAGAAAAAAAGTATGTATAAACTATTAGTTCTGAAGCAACTTCAATATATTTTTCCTGCAAAAACAGAAACAATGTTTGTTTTAATTTATTAACTTCTAGTATGCTTCAAACAAAAGTTTTGTGACGTACCTTATCTTCAAAGTGTAATTAGAAAATATGTTTATGACACAAGATTGTAAAAACAGTTCAATAAATGTAAAAAAAGAATGAGAATTTATTACAAGCATGCATTTCATTCTTTGAACTTCACAGAAGATATTTTAAACTACATCTGTGAATAGCCAAAACAAGTAACTTTATTTAATCAAGCTTCAAACCTTTAACGGAGATTCACCACCAACGTACACAAAAAGTACACGATGCCTCTTTCGCACATGCTCAAACATCTGCTGGCTAGGAAGTGGCCTGATAAGAGGTCTGGGAGGGAAAAAAAGCGAAAGAAAAATCTCAGTTTTTGCAAGCTGCAAAACCCAAACAAATAAATATCCCCAAAAAGTGTCATAATTTACTGTGCTGTGTTTTGTTTTGTTTTTTTTAAACTAAATTCCCCAATGCAAATTCATTTAATTTTTCAAGTTATTTCAATTTCAACTAAAAGCATAAAAAAATCCCCCCCAAAAATAAACTCATTATGTTCCTCAAATAGCATACTTAAATTTGAAATAAATATCTTAGTACAAAATGCTGCTATGATATAAACGCACATACCACTTACTGGCCACAGTATCACAGATTGCTTTGGGTTAAAGGGACCTTAAAGATCATCTAGTTTCAACTCCCCTACCATGAGCAGAGACATTTTCCACTAGATCAGGCTGCTCAAAGCCCCACCCAACTAAAACGTGAACACCTCCAGGGTTGAGGTTTCCACAGCTTCTCTGGGCAACCTGCACCAGTGTTTCAACACCTTTATATCAAAAAATGTCTTCCTTATGTCCAGTCTGAATCTATTCTCTTTCAGTTTAAAAACATTGCCCCTTATCCTGTCAGTACAGGCCCTGATAAAAAGTCTTTCTCTGTCTTTCTTTTAAGCCCTCTTTAAACAGTGAAAGGCCATAGTAAGGTCTCCCCAGCCACAATAAGGTCTTAATCATTTGAGAGAGAAATTCTGAATCCAAGCACAGCAGTTAGAAATAATTTTACATAATTCTGATCACTGAATATCAGATTACTGATATTCCCAAACTACATAATTCTGATCAATAATTAATATTACGTACCTATATGAATGCTTAATTATATCTAAGAATGAAGCTACGAAATAGATTTTTTTTTTCCTTTTCCTTTTCCTCCCCAAAGGTTACTGTCTATAACATTTTGAGGTCACAGTCCACTGTAGGGAAGGAAGAAAAAGCCAACAGAAACTGTAAAAGCCATTTTCTTATGTTGCCAGTTGCCATAACTTTTCAGATTAATCAGCACATATTAAACTGATATTTTTAAGATAACTTTTGAGTATTAAACATATTCTGCCTTAGTAACGGTGTCTACTTATCAGCCAACATTTAGGTCAGTGTTCTTGTTTCTGGCTTCAATGAGTTTCATTTGTTCATAGTTCCCACTACTTTGAAAAGTCCTTACCTCCTTGCACTGTAAAGAAGAGATTGTGACTAGCCAGTCTCTACTTACCTTCATGCCATGCACCACCAGTCTCATGCAACCTCATGTATAGTACATATAGTTTTTAACTTCATGTCAATGTCTTGTTCTTTTCTAAATAGATTTATTTTTGGCCCACCTCAAAACCCTACAGAAGTTTTAAGTCACCAGAACCAGCCTCACAGAAGAGTATACTTACCCTGCTACTCTATTAGCAAATTCAATTATATCATCTTTAGTTCTAGGTCCTCTATAGTTGTATGCCAGGTCACCTTTTAAGCTACATAAATAGGAAAGAAAAAAAAAAGAACAGAATTGAAATCAACTAAACTATACCTGCATATGTAGAAATTATTCAATCTTCACATGTTTATTACAGTCACCTTTTGGCAAGCAAAAAGCAAGATAATTTTTCAAACAGTCGGATAAAAGGCATGGTCTGCAAAATACAAAACTCAATAATTATGGAGTAAAAACTTATTTACACGATCTCTGATTTACTGACTTAAAAATAATTAACATTCTGTTACGATTTTTTTTTATAGTGCATAGCAGGTCCTTTACTTTGTAAACACACAAGTTATTTGGACTTGCTTCTGTCTACACAAGAAATCCCACACACCCAAACCAAACAGCAAACATACAGCATTTAGGCCACTTAGGGATTAGTCCTTGTAAAAGACAAATGTATTAACTTCTTTAATGGTTATTTATAATTGAAAAGTATCAAATTACCTCCAAAACCTTCTGAATTTATGTACTAAATTAAGTGTCCATAAGTGTTGGCCAGTTGACTGTACTCTGCTGACAGGGGATGCAGCATACTTGCATTACAATATTCAAGAAAGTTTTACAAATTCTAACAGGTTTTCTTTAAAATCCATAGGGGTTTAGGAAACTCACAGGAAAAAAACCAATCCATTTTCTATGTCTCTATATGCCAAGAGTTTTTCATGCTTAAAGATTAATAAGCTAAACATCTGTTGCCTTTTTGAGAAAACTAACTTGACAAATAATACATCTTGAATAATATAATTATGAATACTATTTGCTTAGACAATAACCTGCTAGCAAACCCAGTATATTCACAGTAAAAAGTACTCAAAACTACCAAGTCTTTATTTAACATGACCTTGTACTGGACTATATACATGTAGATGTGGTGTTTAGGGACATGGTTTAGTGGTGGACTTTGCAGTGTCAGGTTAAGGGTTGGCCTTAATGATCTTAAGAGTCTTTTCCAAACTAAATGATTCTATGATGCTACATGTAATACCATTATGGACTGGTATTTTTCTATACATGTTGTCCTCTATTGATCTTTTTTAATTAGGTGAAGAAAAAAGAAATCTACATACACTTCTCTTGCCAAACAACTGCTCTCACACTTCACCCTATATAGTAACCACTACTGTAAATTAAGTAAGATTTTCAGGTGCAGTGAAGAGAGAGGCAATTAAAAATAAGAAAACACAATCAGCAACTCACAAACATTAACAGAAAGACTCAGTTATGCACATACTGACTGAAACACTCTTAAGGTGTCAAATCAACTGGTCCATGAAATTCCTTTTAACAGTAATTTAGTACATATATCTATATATGTAAAATATAGACACACACAAAGTTGCATAGAAAACAGTAGTTAAATTAATTCCAAATTTGCTAACCTGCCTTTAATAAGAGTTCTGTTTCTAAATAAGAAGCTTGGTATTACTGAACTTCAAAGCAAAACAGTCCAGTAGAAATCAAAGATAGTGTCAATATTCAGTGGTGGAGTATTTATCTTTGTTTTCACTTTGGGGCTTTTTTGCGGTTTGTTTGGGATTTTTTTGATTTTCAATCGGAAAACACAGATTTTTTTTGATTTTTTTTTTTTTTTTTACTGTCATGAAACTAGTGGTAGGGTAGGTAACTGTTACAAATTTAGGTACCTGTTACAAATTTAATGGGAAGCATCAACTTACAGCTTAATTGTTGGATAGCCTCGCACTCCAAATTCAGATGCAATACCTGAAAGAAACGTGTTAATGTCAAAATGAACCCAGACTTTCTTGCTCTCCTACCTTAATCTTGAAACATAGTTTACTATTTGAGTCACATAAAATAAACAAAAAATCTACCACTTAGTTCAGGATGAAATATTTTACTTGCTTTAAAGAAGCTGCTGTTATGAAGCCACATCACTAAGTTTTGGACCTCTTTCTGGGGTACTGCAGGGTTCCAGCATAGGCTCCCAATTCATATGCCACAAGTTAAGTGGCATGAGAATCCTCTAAATAGACATACTTGGTCAAAGCCAAAAGGTAGTAGGCATTTAATACGCACATACAATTGCATGGAAGTATCAGAGGCAAGAATTAAGCGTCATGGATTTAGAGATGTAAATACTAATACTGAAAAGAAATATAAGACAATTAACTACTCATGCTACACTAATAGGTAACATACAAAAGTGCAGTATCATACTGTAGTTACAAAAAAGTAGTTTTTAAAGTATAATCTGCAGAGGTAAAGGTCTATAGTCATCAACTTCACAAGAAATAGACACTAAGCAATCAGTTACTCACCTGCTGCTTACTAAAGCAGTAAAAAGCAAGACAACTGCAGAACTTTTCCCCCCACCTCATGTTTGTTTAAAATCTTGTATCTTGCTCCCATCAATTCGAGAAATACAATTTGCAACCTCCCTTCCAGTTGTGTACATAGCAACTGCCACCTTAAACTATACTATTTCCAGACAATTCAGTGTTTTCCAAAAGTTAAACTAAGTACTCTTCAAAAAGGCTAAAAAAAGTCTAAAATTATGACAATGCTTGTGCAATTCCCTACTGAAAAAGAACCCCTGCACTCAAAATGCACGAAGATTCAATCCTTTTAACAAAAAGATTCTGAAGCTACCAACCACATGCCAGAGCAGCACATGTGGGAGGACTTGTGTGCAGGGCTCTGAGTAACAGTTTAGAAATTGTGACCCTACAGTTGTTTGCCTGGATCAAAACCCTAATTGTGCAGAACTACAAATAAAACTAGTAGCTCACCTACCAGCATCTTAGTCAAAAGAGACTGATCTAAGAAATATGCATACTAGGATCAATTTGATTCTGATTCTTTTCTCTCTCTGTAGCTGTACATAGAACTAGAATTCATTACAAGGTGTATTAGAACATTCCACCACGAGATCTGTCGACAGGCAGCTAATTTCTCCTTGTACAGTTCTTGAGCACAGTCAAGAGAACTATAAAATAGACTTTTTTTTTTTTTTTTTAATTACAGCCATGGAGATTACCAAAATCCTCTCATTGTCATGGAAGTGACTGACTCTGACTTAATTACATCATCATCTTCACTTGCTGATACAAAGAATACAGTATAAGCCAACAGCACCAACTAGGCTAGCCCCAGCTGTGATTTATTTCTATTCTGATTACACTTAGTGGACTTCTGAGGCTAACTCCCATGAAAATTCAGCAGATACCACATAAAGTCACTGTTCTGTTGATATACCTGCTGTGTCTTCGTTCCACACCGCTACCAAGGGTAACACTTACTGGACGCTTTGTATGTTCAGTTGTGATCTCAACTCTCCGATGACAAGCCACTCAAAGTTCAGATTTTTCACACTACTTCACATTCCAATTAGGAACAGAAACTATGCAGAGCCAACCATTCATGTTCCTTCCTAGTCAGACATGTCTTCCCAGCTGCATTTCCTTTTGATATTCTCAAGACTGAATTACTTTGATTTCAGAGAATCTTTAGATTAGGAATACATTAAGCAGACTTGACTGAGCTTTTCATACCCAGATGTTGTAAAATTTCCACTTTCAAAATAAAAGCCTGAAACTACTTCAAAAGATTTATCAGACTCTATTCTTCATAAAACTGATAAGAAATCTGAGAAGAAAAACATTTTCAGGGCACAAAAGAACCCTCACAGTTTTTAGTAATTTTTAAATATGCACAACTGAATTTTAGAACAAAAGCAAAGTACCAATTCTATTGTAGGTATCAAATACAAAAATTTGATATATCAAATACAGAAGTTTAGTAACAGAGTTTATTGAATTTAGATGATTTAGGATTTGACATACATGATTGGAATGTCATAGATCCACTAAATCTATTGCAAATTTTGAAGTTATCTGACTGCATAATCTTGAACCTTTTAATTCTTCAAACTTATTTTACTTTAGCAAGTAAGTATCTTTAAGATGAAATAGGAGGTCAAACTTACGTGGTTTTACAGAAAAAGCTACACAAAATAAATTGGTGTTTGAGACAAGATCATCTTGATATCAAAAGACCAAACTCTGCTATATGTAAGCACAGAAAAACTGGAATATCAGTCAAAAAAAAGTATTCTGCATAATATTTTATGCAAATATAACAATTCTAAATAATCAGTTTCAATGGGTATTAACTAAAAACATTACATGTATTAACAGAGTTTTATCACGTACAGACCCTACTTGGCCCCCACTGCTCCCTATGCTTTCCCTCTTAAATCTGTGTTGAATCAGGAGGATATTTAAGTGAAATGACAATAAACAAGCAGACTAAAACTAAGAAAATACTGTTAAGCACGCAACAACCCTCTCCTGTCTACCCAAACCACTTCTCTGAATACCTAAAGTTTTGGGTTTTCTCTGAAAAGTTCAGTACATATGAAAGTCATCATCAAAAATGAAAGCTTTAAAATAGCTGAAATTGGTTCTTCGATAAGACATTTACAGGGAAACGGAGAGAAACTGGCTCAACATTGATGTAATGACTTCAGTGATTTCAGCTGGTTTTTGGTGTAACATCTTAAGTAAGGACTGATTACCTGGAAAGAATAACAGCAAGAACACAAGCACTTGTCCAACAGTAATACAGGGAACCTAAAATTGGATGCTGTCAAGAGACACAGTACATAAAGACGCTTGTATAATGGAACACTAAGAAGCATATCAAAAGTCTATCTTTAAAAAGCTTTCACCTTCCATTTGTCAGGAAGAATTCCCTATACAAGGAGAGCCAAGCGTGATAAAAAACGCATACTACAGCATGTTGTCACTTTGAGAAAGAAAAAGATCAGGAAATTATTCTCCAGTGACTGTTTTCATACTTTTGCTATGATACAAAACAATAAGAATGACTAATAAAAAAAGTTAAGAACCGTTTCAAAACAGATGCTGATATGAAATTATCTCTAACCAAATCATACTTACTAGAAAAGGAAGTTGCATCCATCTTCCCAACTTTTACTGGAGAGCCCATGTTTCTAATTTCTATGCCCACTTCATTCCACACAGGCTCCAGTTTCTTGCAGTGGCCGCACCAAGGTGCATAAAACTGAGAAGCAAATACATTTGATTTGGGGGGTGGAAAGGTAAGTAATGAAGAGAAATAATTAAGAGAATTTGATTCTATGATTAACCCTCAAATAAGTTAGCAAGGCTTCTTTTCCAGTCATAGTGTTCTTTAGGTCTTAATAAAACTGCAAGTTAATTACAAAGCTGGAGTGACAAACAGAGTTTTTATGATTTGGTGCTACTTTTAATCTGAAAGCAAAAATTTGAAAATAATAGATTAAATTGCTGTACTATTATACAATTTCTTATTTTAGAATAGACTGTTTCGTAAAATTCAGAATATTTTATTCTTTTTTTGAAAGTTAAAAGCTCATGTAGTCAATCTAATCAGGAATATGAATTTATTTGGGAACATTATTCTTTGAAAGGAAGGGAGATATATACATATCTATCTATCTACATACTTCCCCAAGCTGTCCTCTCAATTTTAGTCCTTCAGCAACCACTTTTATACAAGCACACTGTAAAACTGACCTCGTTTTCACAGGGCCAAGCAGTGCTGCAAGACTTCATTTTGTCTTTCTGTCTATGTCTTGCTGCAACATCTCAGTGAAATTAATAGGAAAGATATCAAAGTTTTGGTATAACAAAATCAGGTTACAACTTCACAAAGCTGGATTATATTTTCCTATACAGTACTGATTAATTCTGGATCAGTATATATAGTTTTCCCCACTCAAAAAAATCACAAATTTGAACTATATAATTTGGGAATTAGAGTTCATATTTGGGTGGTCTAAAAAGAATTTTATCTCATTCTCAAACAAGCTCAATCTTTTTCCTTGCTTCTGAAATAAGGAGCACTGAATCTTTCCAAATATGTTAGAAAGGTAAAAGAAGTCTCTCATATATTTGATATTGTAGTGCTGAACATCCAGAACACAAATTAGCCAGCATAACTAGAGAATGGAATTGTAAAAATTCTGCATGGAGGTTATCACTTCCTGACTTTAAGTGTAAGGTAATCTGCTTTCCTTTTTTAAAGAATAAAATACACGATGAAGCCAGTCTGCATCCAGTACTCAGTCTAATTCCTGGTTCATCCTGAACAATATAGACAGATTGCTTAGCCACCCTGTCAGAAGAATTACTGTCATGTAATTTTTTCTCCATCATGTACAAATGATTTTCCAAACGACGAAGCAACCTTACTACAGAGTGTAGCATTGTACATTGTGTTTTGATTTCCACTAGCAGGTCTTCCCATTTTTCTCATATACTCACATCTACGAGCCAAATATCATCTTTACGGTTTTCTTTAAACCTATGAGGGGGAAAGAAATGAAATCATTATACATTATATCTGAAAATAAATAAGTGAAGTGCACGCATGAAACAGGTAAAGTCTACAATTAAGTTGGTATACAACTATTGATACTAGAATTCTGTTCCATTTCTTTCTTTGTGGGTGGAGGGAAGGAGGAAATAGTTATTCTTCAGTATTAAGATTGCCCATGCACATGATACTGCATACACAGCTGTACTGATTAGGTTTCTGTAACCAATTGCCCAGACAAAAAAAAGGAGGGGGAAAAAAACCAAAAAAACCCAAAAAAACACCATAGAAAACCAGTAAGAAATCAGAAAACACACCAAAACACACAAAAGACACTTGATTGGAATATGTAATCTAAGGGGAAAAACTATTATGCAGCTATTCTAGTTATATTAAATACTGATGTTGACTGTTCAGAAAAAGTTGCATTTTCATAGATCAGCTCATACAGATTCTTAGAGCATCAGTTTGCACTGTTAACCTTAGCTTTACTGAATGGAGACTAACTAAATTATCTTTAAAGTTAATACGCAAAGCAATTCTAGTTCAATCTGCTTCAACATTCTACTATAGGTATGCCAGTTTATGTTTTTCATCAAAGGTTCACACAAGAAACCAACTTACTGGAATAAAAGTGTTCAAGTTATCAATAAAAACCAGACATACACAGGTACTACTGAATATTCTTAATCCTAGAGCAATGACATCTTAATGAACTAACTACTTTATTACAGTAAATCTGTCACTAGATGCTAAAACCTCTAAAACAAAAATAGAACATGATAAATCAAAGTTCCTTGGCACCTCTGGAAATGTTGCTTACACATTTCACTGAACTGTTTTTATTACAAGACCATAAAAAATAACTCATTACTTAACTATTTCTATGTTGAGAATTAAATAAGCGAGAACTTTAATGTAAGCTTTATTTTTGTAAAAGATGGGCTTCACAGAAGTTATCAGAACTGGGAGTAATGTCATATACTATAAAATACATTATACAACATTCTTACTGTAATACTCTTATTGTGAAAGGAGATTAATATATATATAATTACACAGTAAGTGTCTGCACTACACTCTCCAGTGAACAGAAGTTATAGCTCAACTCATCAATTCTAAATATGCAGCATGCTTATAAATAAGCAAAATCAGAGAACATTTATATATATATTATATATATATATAAAAAA